AAAAAGTGGAAAATTGTTATATAGATTCCGTTTTTATCAGGATTTCAACTCTTTTCCATAAAAAATAGAGCAATAAAAAAACCTTAGCGTATGCTATTTTTTTTGTTCATTGTTACTTTTTTATTTATGTTCATGCGTACGTGTTGGAAATTGGTTTTTGGCTTATCTAAATGCATGAGTTGATCTAGAAAAAAAAATCAATAAACCATATTAATAATGCAAAAAATTGAAAAAAAAAGGATTATGAAATAATGCATTAAAGTGGATGCATGAATACCAATCGTTTGTCGTAAGAAAGTTCATCCACTAAAGCATATTGACTAAATCAAGGGTATCTCATATCTGCAAAGTTGCTACTTTAATTTTTAAAAACACACTTTTCTATATGTATACTAACCAAGGCAAGATGTCCATGGATATTATTACAATGATTGCGAACAAATAGAATAGAGCCAAGGGGGTGCAAATATTGAATATACATTTCCATCGCAATCACTTTAGGAAAAACATTTGGTGCCTGTCTTTTCACGTACACAGCAAAAAGTAGCTATCAATCATATATGTATTTCCTTAATAAATTAAATGTTTACAGGAAAAAATTACTCATTTGGTTAACTTAAAATTGCCATATATGTTGCCAATTAAGAAAAAGCTCAAGAGACAACGAGCATAATTGGACAAAAATAGACTTCACATGCGTTGCACGCCGATTTGAAAAGTATCATAGCGCTATTTGTCGCACATGAAGTTATTTATACGAATGGGTTTATATGTCATTAATTTAATTAAGCTTCATGCCCTATCTTTTTCTGACGTTATATCTGCCACATACTAAACTATCATGTCACAATTGAGCATATACACATATGCATAGAATCAAGCTAGTCTTATTAGGGATTATTCTTTACTTTTTATAAAGTATATACGTAGGTCATTATTTTCACAAGGTAATGTACTGAAGTGTCCCGTGATAGCAGAAGATTCACACCCTTAGCTACGTGTCATTCAGTGAGTGGTAAAGGAGGGGGGATCCATAGCCAAGATAATTCTTTTCCACGTCCACATAGGGCGGGTCGTATTCGGTTCGGTTCGGTTTTAAGCCCAATCCGCATCCAATCCGAATTTTTTGGATTCTCAAAACTCTCATCCAGATCCAGATTTTTTCCCCTTCATCCGAATATTCGGCCCAACCGAAATTCGGTTCGGTTTCGGTTTTGAACCGAATTAACTCCATTTAACAAAAATCTGGGTAAGTTTTAGTTATATCCAAAACTGAAAAGTAGCAATCAAAACTGAAAAGAAACAATCAAAACTGTACTAAGCCACTTAATCAAATTGTATGATCTGAATATAACTAGCTTAATACACTAGGAGGACCATGTAATTATGTAGCCTTTTTTAGAGAAAGAACAATGTTTGGCAGGCACACACACCTTTTGATGATTTTCGTTAATTTTTAGCTACCTTTTTCTCATCAAGAATTATCTTATATCCTTGACAGCCTAAACTATAGGTTAATTTGATATCCAGCACCAGCAAGCTGTATTCATGTTATCACTGAAATTTGACCAAAACACTAAATTTATCCTTCAACCTCAACATCTTGTATTGATTTACGGAAATCTCACTTAACTATATCAGCGTACTCAAATATATGTTAGTATAAACTCCACCCCACAATTCTTAAATGCTAAACATTCAGCCATAAATTTTCTTCACACCCAAGGCTCGCAGCTACTTTTGGTTTAAGAATTCGGTTCGGTTTTTTTTGGGCGGTTCAGGGGTTCAAACCGGATCCAGACCGGTTTAATTTGGTTCGGGCGGTTTAGAGACTTCTTCTCATCCATTTAATTCGGTTTGGTTAACCGATCCGTTTTTTCGAGCGGTTTTTTCGGTTGAACCGGTTTGTTTCGGTTTTTGCCCACCCCTACGTCCACAACATCACCTTCACCGTGATAACAGCTTTAACTATTGGGTTTTCCAATGTTGGCCCCAGGATAATGAATTTTTTTCATATTTTGGGACTGACAGAGGGTACTGACGGACTAACTAAGAGAGACACTTGTGTTTGGCGAACTTTGAGCATAAAAGAGAGAGTTGTTCACCGCTTTCAAGCATATTCAAGAGTTCTTCGATGTTTCCTCAAGTTCAAACTTGTATTTGATCTTGAGAAGAGTATATATCTTACCTTGCTAAGATATTTACTTCAGTTTTTGTTTCAACGTCGAAACATCAACTTTCAACCTTCTTCGTTTCCGGCTTGGAGCATTAATTCGGTGGTCCACGGATTACGCATCCCTGACACATGTAAAGATCCCGCGCAAACAGAAGTTACTACGTAGGAGTTTTTGTGTGTGTTTCTAGGGAACACCACAATTTTGTTTTTATTGTAAAGAAAAGTTTTACGCATGTAAGGTAGTCCCTTAGATCATTGAAATTGATATTAAATTCCCCTGATTCTTACTAGTTACTTCAATATAGTTCTCGTTCTGTAATTTCCACCGAATGTACCACTCATAGTTAGGCTAGTGATCATAGATTCATAGATAGCTACTCATCGTTTACACTAGCCACTTTAAAATGGGGTAGGTGAAAGAAAACGATTGTTAGAGAACATAAATGTTTTAAAGACTATCAAGCTACTGTAAACAAGTTTTCACTAGAACGGGAATGATAAAAACATAAAGTTAAAACTCGCATTACATCTCGCAAGGTTAACTTCAGAAAAATATATATTCCGAAAACTATGGGGACTAACATGCAACAATTTATAATATCTAATGGGAACTAAGAGCAATTTCCTAGGATGGATGGACTTATCCCGAAGTATTAAAAAAAAAGGATTAAGGCCCTATTTGACAAAGGGTTAAGGAAAACAGATTAATGAGAAGGATTAACATAGTTAGCCCATTCGATAATTTGAGGTACTGTTTGACAAAGGGTTAAGTGAGGGGTTAAGGAGACTTAACCCCTTCTTAACCCGCCAAACACAAAAAATCTATATAAGGGTTAAAGTGATTTAACCCTCCATATATAATTTGCCAAACATAAAAAATATAAAAGGGTTAAGCTTACCCCTTTAAAGGGATTAAAACGAGTCAACCCCTCAAAATGAGGGGTTTACTAATACTCCTATTTAGAAGGATTAAGAGTTAACCCTTCTAATTGTAAAGAAAATAGTCAAAATTATTGTTATTCCCAAACACTAAAACTGATCACAAATGCTAAAATAAAACTTATTTAACGGATTAATAATTTAGTCATTCAGATTATCGAATGGGCTAAGTACATTAATCCTTCTCTTTAACCCCTCTTCCTTAACCCTTTGTCAAACGAGGTCTGAAGGACTAAATTATTAACCCGTTATAAAAATTTTATTTTAACCCTTATGATCATTTGTAGTGTTTGGGAATAACAAGGATTTTGAATATTTTCTTTATAATTAGAATGATTAACTCTTAATCCTTGTAAATAGGAATATTAGTAAACCCCTTATTTTGAGGGATTAGCTTAATTCTTCTATATTTTTTATGTTTGGCAAATTATGGAGGGTTAACTCACTTTAATCCTTGTATAGATTTTTTATGTTCGGCGGGTTAAGAAGGGATTAAGTCTTCTTAACCCCTCACTTAACCATTTGCCAAACGGTACCTAAGGAATTATTAATATACGAAAACACATAACTACTACTAGTTAATTACCCATATTAGTGATTGTGGAGTTTACTACATCTATATGGTTAAGATTAGGCATAAAGGAGGTTACGTAAATGCTAGAAATTATTGAGGCCTCACGATTTTTGTGACAGGGAGGTCGGTTATAAAAACAGTGTCAAGTCAATTTCGTTTCCTTTTACGGAGCACCTGTGAAAATTAAAGCAGACGTGGCACCCAACTAACCCGCTATCAACAAGCGGAAAGGCCTCACAGGAAGCGGAGAAAACGACAGCTCAACGAACAGCAAACAACCACTAGACGAATTATATCTGTCCACGTTTGGAACACATAAGTTTAGCAATACGAAAATGGATTCGGATCCTCTCCACTACAAAAAAAATAGTGGAGGGACCACTACATAATCACAACCATTGATTATCTAGTTGATGGTTATGATTTTTTCTTTTAGTGCAAATTAGGAATGAGTGCAATACACGAGGGTATGGTAAGTGTTAGATTTAGATTGTATCATAACCGTCTACTAAATAATCAACGCTTGAGATTAAAAGTAGTGATCTCTCCACTATTTTTTTGTAGTGGAGAGGATCCAAATCCATACCAAAATACCCAAAAAGGACGAGCGAAGGATACCCCCATCAGTAGCGGCGAACAAAGAGTTCCAGCTCCGCACGTGCCGCCTGCAGAACCACGTGACCGCAGATTCAGTCGACCTCCACGTGTCCATCCGTCTGCGGTCCCCACCGGCAGATGCCAGCTAATCAATCTGTCCGTACTCTTTGTGCCAATTCCAATCTGAATGCATAATTGGATACAGCATGACCGCTCGTTTGAACGACGCAGGCACTTATCGAAACCCACAGATAAGCACAACGACTTATCACCCTAGTCGAAGTCAGACAGCTATCACCCACTGCCCTCGAAAGGGACAGAGTTATGGTAAAATTTTGAAGAAAGCAGGGGTAAATTGTACGATGATACTGACCTGGCAGGTCCTTATGAAATGACGATCTTGCCCTTAGGACTGGTCCTCGGGAAGTGCAGATGCCTTTTCTGTGTTCTCAAATGACGGTTCTAGCCCTCAGTCTGCCTCGTAACCGACAAAGGCCTTTCTTCCCCATTCTACCCCTGAGACGTGACGAGTGGTTCCTTTGATTTCACCATAATGCCCCCAAATCGTACAGGAAGTCAGATTTTGATGTGACGTTATAGGGGCAGAGCGGTAACTGCGAGGGGTGTTATAGGGCTATGAGGGTAATTGAGGGAGAGAGCTAATCGCAAGGATTTTTTCTCGCTTGGCGATATAAATGCGAGAGAGGAAAGAGATAAAGGGGGGCTGAGAGAGAGAGCAGAAGCAGGAGCTATATAAAGGCGAAAGATAAGAGAGAGAAAATAGAGAGAGAGAGAGAGAGTCTCGAAACCCTAGAAATCGAAGGTAGACTCCATTTCTGAGCTTCGAATCTCGTCGGAGCTCAAACCCTAGCGTTGATCGGAAGCCAGATCGAGGGTCTAGCTTCGTGTTGCTTCAGATCCGGCTGTGGATCGTTGAGACGAGCTCGATCTCTGGTTCGATGGGGATTCGGTAGGGTTTTTCATCGTTTTCCTTGATCGTTTTCGTCGATTTTGGGTGTTTGGATTCAATTTGGCCGGTGGTTTGGTGTATTTATTTAATATATTTGAGGTTTATTGGAGGTTCGGTTGTTGGGGGCTTAATTATTATTTCCGAGATAAGGAAAGGGTAAAAAAGGGAAAGTAGCGGGGAAGTAGAGGTTACGCTTGGAAGTGAGGAAGGAAGGTGGGTTTTGTCGTTTTTCTGTAGAGAAAAGAAACTGACTTTGCGCTGGAGCGTTTAGGGGTCGCGGGAACTATGTCCTCTTTGAGTAGGGAACTCGTTTTCCTCATACTCCAGTTTCTGGATGAGGAGAAATTCAAAGAGACTGTTCATAAGTAAGTCATCCTCCATTTTCTTTGAATTAAAAAAAAATCTGTCGGAGTTCTCAAATTTTGGTACATTTTGGGACTTTAGGTTGGAGCAGGAGTCGGGTTTTTACTTCAATATGAAGCATTTTGAGGATCAAGTTCAGGCAGGAGAATGGGATGAGGTCGAAAAGTATCTCGGCGGGTTTACAAAGGTTGAGGACAATAGATACTCGATGAAAATCTTCTTTGAGATCAGAAAGCAGAAGTACCTCGAAGCTCTGGATAGGTGTGTGTTTCAAGTTGATGCCTGTATCCTGATTTTTGCCAGTTTTTATTTGTTTTTTAAACTTAGCTACTCTGTTTATTTCAGCCATGATAGAGCAAAAGCCGTGGAAATTCTTGTTAAGGATCTTAAAGTCTTTGCTTCTTTCAATGAAGAGCTTTTTAAGGAGATTACCCAATTGCTGACCCTGGAGAATTTTAGGTATTTCAGTTTGTATGCTCTTGTGATGTTGTGATCTTTTAATTTTTGATAATGCATTAAAAAACTCATTTCCCCCCTTAATTGTGCAGGCAGAATGAACAATTGTCGAAGTATGGGGATACAAAGTCGGCTAGAAATATAATGCTCTTGGAGCTTAAGAAGCTTATTGAGGCTAACCCCTTGTTTCGCGACAAGCTTACATTCCCAGGCTTCAAAGCTTCTAGACTACGGACCTTGATCAACCAAAGGTATTGCAATACCTCTGTACTCATTATACAAGTTCTTCCTTTACGTCCATTATATGATTAACCTATTGACGTATTCTCAAATATGGTTTTCGGCATATAAGAAATACACCACTTTGCTATAGCTGGCGAATAGATGCAGTCTGAGCTATTTGTATATTTATATCTTTACTTGGTCTATTGCGAGTCACACCATATATAACACAGGAATTCCCTAAACGAAGATACATAATACAAGACGCTCTATTTACTAATTCAAATTTTGCCATTAAGGACAACTTTCAGATATTTAGTTGATGTCAAATGAGCTATTTAATGTTCAATTTTCGAGAATTGGTAGAATGCTGCACATACAGGAAACGCTGTAGACTTATTTATCCCTTATAATCTGTTTACTTACTTATTTCGTGAACTTGTATTAGCCAATTGATTACTATGCTTATTATATGTATATTGGTTTTAGTCTTAATTGGCAGCATCAGCTTTGCAAGAACCCTCGCCCCAACCCTGACATTAAAACACTTTTTACGGATCACACGTGTGCTCCTACTAACGGAGCAAGGCCGCCGCCACCAACCAATGGTCCCCTTGTAGGGCCAATTCCTAAGTCCGGGCCGTTTCCTCCTCTAGGTGCTCATAGTGTAAGTGAGGAGTACCACAATTGTCAAATATTTCTTGCTTTTCCCAATCCTTTCTAAGGTTTAAAAAGCTTTGATTTTTGATTTTTAATTTGTGATATTTCTTCCCATGCAGCCATTTCAGCCTGTTGTTTCTCCATCAGCAAGTGCAATTGCAGGTTGGATGACAAGTGGCAATCCATCCATGCCCCATGCTGCTGTGGCTCAAGGGCCTCCGGGTCTTGTGCAGCCTCCTAATACAGGTGAGCCAATCAAATGTCCTATGTTTTTCGGCACATGATATGGCGTTGGACGTTACGTGCTTAGTTGAGTGCATATGTTTTCCCAGCTGCATTTCTGAAGCACCCCAGAACCCCTACAAGTGCTACAGGTATGGATTATCAAACAGCTGACTCTGAACACTTGATGAAAAGAATGCGAACTGGCCAATCAGATGAGGTACATTAACCTTTTTAGCAATTAGAATATTATTTGTATGTAAGTTGATTAATTTTTATAGCTGACATGTATGCCATAATAACTAAATACCTTTTTAGGTGTCATTCTCTGGCGCATCACATCCATCCAATGTTTATTCCCAAGACGATCTTCCCAAAAGTGTAGTACGAACACTTAATCAGGGCTCTAATGTCATGAGCTTGGATTTCCATCCGCAACATCAAACATTTCTTTTAGGTAATTTCTTGTATTAATGTGGGAATTATGAAATTACAATTTTTTATTAGCATTTTGCAGTGTTTTCCCCTTGATTTAATGAAGTCGTGTTCCTGCCTTTATCAACCCCATAGTTGGAACAAATGTTGGTGACATTGGAATATGGGAAGTGGGATCTCGAGAAAGGATAGCACACAAGAACTTTAAGGTCTGGGATGTCCAAAATTGTTCAGTGCCTCTACAGGTATCTACTTGAAATGTACCTTTCCAAACAAAACTTCATAACATGATTACCATAATAGTTCTAATTCGTGTTCGTTTTGTTGGATTTTCTCATCTCGATCTATTCCTAATAAAACTTGCTCCAATTTACAGGCGGCCTTGATGAAAGATGCAACAATATCTGTCAACCGCTGTTTATGGAGCCCTGATGGTTCTGTTATTGGTATTGATTAATTCAATTGCTTTTCTTATTTAATGATGTTCCATTTATAGATGGATTCCTTCCTTCCTTGTGGGGCGAGTTAGTGCAACGAGATTTTCTCACTGGTAATTTTGCTCTGCTCTCTGCTAGGTGTTGCATTTTCTAAACATCTCATACAGACATATGCTTATATTCCTAATGGAGAGCTCAGACAACAGTTAGAGGTGAGTTGTAATTTTGATGTCTGTAGGCAACCATATATCAATCACTCACATGTTCCGTCTGCATAGATTGATGCTCATGTAGGTGGTGTCAATGACATTGCATTTTCGCATCCCAATAAGAGCTTGTCTATTATCACATGTGGTGATGATAAGACCATTAAGGTGAGGATGACGAGGATATCTTCAAGTTTTAACCTCTCTAAGTTTAAATCTATTACTAACTGAATAGTATATCTTATAATGCTTAATTACATGAATTGCAGGTGTGGGATGCTACTACTGGACAAAAACAGTATCTGTTTGAAGGCCATGAAGCTCCTGTATATTCTGTTTGTCCTCACCATAAAGAGATGATACAGGTTTCTGTCTTCACTGGCCCCTATTTTATTCTTTCACAAATCTAAGTATAACTAGTTATAGTACATTAGGCTTCCTTATTTGTTTCTATGATGTTGTGGGGATATGGGCTGGGTTAGTTGGGAATATTTTCTCGTGAATTAGGTTCTATAGGTATTAGTGGCATACCTTTGAGATTTCTGTCTTAACTGGCCCCTATTTTATTCTTTAAAAAAATCTAAATATAACTAGTTTCTACTCTAAACTTCCTTATTTGTTTCTTTGATGTCGTTGGGAATTAGGTTCTATAGGTATCAGTGTCATACACTTGAGATCTGTCTCACCTTAGCTTCGTTTGCAGTTTATATTCTCCACTGCTGTTGATGGAAAGATCAAAGCATGGCTATATGATTATGCTGGGTCTAGAGTTGATTATGATGCCCCTGGCCTCTGGTGCACAACAATGTCATACAGTGCTGATGGCTCAAGGTAAAATTTGATGCAGTGCTTTATTTGTGATATTAACATTATTAATCTAATTTTGGTCCGAGAAAGTGATGACTTCTTTTTCTACATTATTTTTTGTCATGATCGTAGTTTGTATGCAACAGATGTTGAGTTATGCTTTTTGTTAATCTGTTCTCAACTATATTATTATAGTCTGTTTGTTAGCTTTTAAAAAAGTCTAAATCACCTCTACACCTGTTTCAGGCTCTTTTCATGTGGAACTAGTAAAGATGGGGATTCCCATTTGGTTGAGTGGAATGAAACAGAAGGAGCCATTAAAAGGACATATTCTGGATTCAGGAAACGGTCTCTTGGTGTCGTACAGTTTGACACAACCAGGAACCGTTTCTTAGCTGCTGGAGATGAATTCGTGATTAAATTCTGGGATATGGACAACACCAATTTACTGACTACAACAGATGCAGAGGGTGGTTTGACCGTAAGTACCATTCTATTTGCTGGATTCTCTCTACATCATCAACTTCAAGACTTAAAACTTCCCCCCTTATAATTGCCTCTTTGCTTCAGGCAAGTCCTCGGCTGAGATTTAATAAAGAAGGGTCCTTGCTTGCTGTTACGACCAATGACAATGGAATTAAGATCTTAGCAAACGCTGATGGACAACGCTTGCTAAGGATGCTGGAGAGCAGGACTTTTGAAGGCTCTCGAGGCCCTCAGCAAATTAGTTCCAAGGTAACACTACTACTGTACTTTATGTCATAATCAAATCTCCCCCCCTTACACGCCGTAAACCAACCAAAGATGCACAAGTAATTTAAAGATCCTTGCACAAATAGCTTGCAGATTCAAGCAGTGAGTTCCATGCACTATTTTGCTTACTATGATGAAGAAGTTACTACTTGGAGTCTTATGTGAGATCTAATCAGCCCGATTATGGACAACGAATATAAGTCATATGAGCTCCTTGTCCAGTCAGCCTATTTTTGGTTATAATTTTCACCACTTGGTAGTTGTCTTTCCATTCGAGGAATTCTTAGGTGTTCTATGAGCACCAAGTGGCATACACCACCCCAACAGGAGGAGGCCATGTGGCATAAACAATTTAATCTCCTTCTCATTTGTTAGTGGTTTGTGCCACATGGGCTTCTCTGATGGGGGTGGTGCTGCATGCACTTCGGTTCTCATTGAGCACTTAAGAATTAGTCCGTTCATTTACTTCTGCACAGCCCACCAAATCCAGTCTGTGAATCTTAATTAACCCATTGATCTTAACTAGCTGAACTGGAAAATTCTCAATTTGTTCCATGGTCTTGACCCTCCATTTCTTAATGTATCAAAATCTTACTTTTGACAGCCAGTGTATATAAATATGTAGAACTTACTGTAAAATATAGGATAGTTTTGTAGCATGAAATATTTAAATCTTCTGGCTAATGCGTAGTGGGTGTTTATTGTTGGTTAATTGCTGATTGGTCCGTCATGAGTTATAGGTCTTATGTTAGATTATATTATCCTGTTGATTATTTCATCATGGCAAAAATGGAAAGCTTTGAAGCATCTGCCGGTGGCATAGCAGCATTTTGTCTCATATGAAATGATTTCATTAAACTGTCTTTATAGTCTTGCATATCACATTAGGACTGAACTGATAAATACCTGGTCATTCTTCTCTTTCTTAGTTGGACATTTGTGTTTCTCCATCAGCAAGTGCAATTGCAGGTTGGATGACAAGTGGCAATCCATCCATGCCCCATGCTGCTGTGGCTCAAGGGCCTCCGGGTCTTGTGCAGCCTCCTAATACAGGTGAGCCAATCAAATGTCCTATGTTTTTCGGCACATGATATGGCGTTGGACGTTACGTGCTTAGTTGAGTGCATATGTTTTCCCAGCTGCATTTCTGAAGCACCCCAGAACCCCTACAAGTGCCACAGGTATGGATTATCAAACAGCTGACTCTGAACACTTGATGAAAAGAATGCGAACTGGCCAATCAGATGAGGTACATTAACCTTTTTAGCAATTAGAATATTATTTGTATGTAAGTTGATTAATTTTTATAGCTGACATGTATGCCATAATAACTAAATACCTTTTTAGGTGTCATTCTCTGGCGCATCACATCAATCCAATGTTTATTCCCAAGACGATCTTCCCAAAAGTGTAGTACGAACACTTAATCAGGGCTCTAATGTCATGAGCTTGGATTTCCATCCGCAACATCAAACATTTCTTTTAGGTAATTTCTTGTATTAATGTGGGAATTATGAAATTACAATTTTTTTATTAGCATTTTGCAGTGTTTTCCCCTTGATTTAATGAAGTTTTGTTCCTGCCTTTATCAACCCCATAGTTGGAACAAATGTTGGTGACATTGGAATATGGGAAGTGGGATCTCGAGAAAGGATAGCACACAAGAACTTTAAGGTCTGGGATGTCCAAAATTGTTCAGTGCCTCTACAGGTATCTACTTGAACTGTACCTTTCCAAAAAAAACTTCATAACATGATTACCATAATAGTTCTAATTCGTGTTCGTTTTGTTGGATTTTCTCATCTCGATCTATTCCTAATAAAACTTGCTCCAATTTACAGGCGGCCTTGATGAAAGATGCAACAATATCTGTCAACCGCTGTTTATGGAGCCCTGATGGTTCTGTTATTGGTATTGATTAATTCAATTGCTTTTCTTATTTAATGATGTTCCATTTATAGATGGATTCCTTCCTTCCTTGTGGGGCGAGTTAGTGCAACGAGATTTTCTCACTGGTAATTTTGCTCTGCTCTCTGCTAGGTGTTGCATTTTCTAAACATCTCATACAGACATATGCTTATATTCCTAATGGAGAGCTCAGACAACAGTTAGAGGTGAGTTGTAATTTTGATGTCTGTAGGCAACCATATATCAATCACTCACATGTTCCGTCTGCATAGATTGATGCTCATGTAGGTGGTGTCAATGACATTGCATTTTCGCATCCCAATAAGAGCTTGTCTATTATCACATGTGGTGATGATAAGACCATTAAGGTGAGGATGACGAGGATATCTTCAAGTTTTAACCTCTCTAAGTTTAAATCTATTACTAACTGAATAGTATATCTTATAATGCTTAATTACATGAATTGCAGGTGTGGGATGCTACTACTGGACAAAAACAGTATCTGTTTGAAGGCCATGAAGCTCCTGTATATTCTGTTTGTCCTCACCATAAAGAGATGATACAGGTTTCTGTCTTCACTGGCCCCTATTTTATTCTTTCACAAATCTAAGTATAACTAGTTATAGTACATTAGGCTTCCTTATTTGTTTCTATGATGTTGTGGGGATATGGGCTGGGTTAGTTGGGAATATTTTCTCGTGAATTAGGTTCTATAGGTATTAGTGGCATACCTTTGAGATTTCTGTCTTAACTGGCCCCTATTTTATTCTTTAAAAAAATCTAAATATAACTAGTTTCTACTCTAAACTTCCTTATTTGTTTCTTTGATGTCGTTGGGAATTAGGTTCTATAGGTATCAGTGTCATACACTTGAGATCTGTCTCACCTTAGCTTCGTTTGCAGTTTATATTCTCCACTGCTGTTGATGGAAAGATCAAAGCATGGCTATATGATTATGCTGGGTCTAGAGTTGATTATGATGCCCCTGGCCTCTGGTGCACAACAATGTCATACAGTGCTGATGGCTCAAGGTAAAATTTGATGCAGTGCTTTATTTGTGATATTAACATTATTAATCTAATTTTGGTCCGAGAAAGTGATGACTTCTTTTTCTACATTATTTTTTGTCATGATCGTAGTTTGTATGCAACAGATGTTGAGTTATGCTTTTTGTTAATCTGTTCTCAACTATATTATTATAGTCTGTTTGTTAGCTTTTAAAAAAGTCTAAATCACCTCTACACCTGTTTCAGGCTCTTTTCATGTGGAACTAGTAAAGATGGGGATTCCCATTTGGTTGAGTGGAATGAAACAGAAGGAGCCATTAAAAGGACATATTCTGGATTCAGGAAACGGTCTCTTGGTGTCGTACAGTTTGACACAACCAGGAACCGTTTCTTAGCTGCTGGAGATGAATTCGTGATTAAATTCTGGGATATGGACAACACCAATTTACTGACTACAACAGATGCAGAGGGTGGTTTGACCGTAAGTACCATTCTATTTGCTGGATTCTCTCTACATCATCAACTTCAAGACTTAAAACTTCCCCCCTTATAATTGCCTCTTTGCTTCAGGCAAGTCCTCGGCTGAGATTTAATAAAGAAGGGTCCTTGCTTGCTGTTACGACCAATGACAATGGAATTAAGATCTTAGCAAACGCTGATGGACAACGCTTGCTAAGGATGCTGGAGAGCAGGACTTTTGAAGGCTCTCGAGGCCCTCAGCAAATTAGTTCCAAGGTAACACTACTACTGTACTTTATGTCATAATCAAATCTCCCCCCCTTACACGCCGTAAACCAACCAAAGATGCACAAGTAATTTAAAGATCCTTGCACAAATAGCTTGCAGATTCAAGCAGTGAGTTCCATGCACTATTTTGCTTACTATGATGAAGAAGTTACTACTTGGAGTCTTATGTGAGATCTAATCAGCCCGATTATGGACAACGAATATAAGTCATATGAGCTCCTTGTCCAGTCAGCCTATTTTTGGTTATAATTTTCACCACTTGGTAGTTGTCTTTCCATTCGAGGAATTCTTAGGTGTTCTATGAGCACCAAGTGGCATACACCACCCCAACAGGAGGAGGCCATGTGGCATAAACAATTTAATCTCCTTCTCATTTGTTAGTGGTTTGTGCCACATGGGCTTCTCTGATGGGGGTGGTGCTGCATGCACTTCGGTTCTCATTGAGCACTTAAGAATTAGTCCGTTCATTTACTTCTGCACAGCCCACCAAATCCAGTCTGTGAATCTTAATTAACCCATTGATCTTAACTAGCTGAACTGGAAAATTCTCAATTTGTTCCATGGTCTTGACCCTCCATTTCTTAATGTATCAAAATCTTACTTTTGACAGCCAGTGTATATAAATATGTAGAACTTACTGTAAAATATAGGATAGTTTTGTAGCATGAAATATTTAAATCTTCTGGCTAATGCGTAGTGGGTGTTTATTGTTGGTTAATTGCTGATTGGTCCGTCATGAGTTATAGGTCTTATGTTAGATTATATTATCCTGTTGATTATTTCATCATGGCAAAAATGGAAAGCTTTGAAGCATCTGCCGGTGGCATAGCAGCATTTTGTCTCATATGAAATGATTTCATTAAACTGTCTTTATAGTCTTGCATATCACATTAGGACTGAACTGATAAATACCTGGTCATTCTTCTCTTTCTTAGTTGGACATTTGAAATATATATATATATATATATATATATTATATATATACAAATAAAAAAAAATATAGCTGGAAATTGGCAGACATAGTAGACTCTGCTCATCTTAAAGCCTTGCGGTTGCCCGACACGATGACTGCACCAAATAAGGTAAAAATACAAGTTATATAGTACATTGTGTAATTTTTGCAGTAATAGTAAAATTGTCAGCATAAACAAAGAAATTGGACCTGGGCCATCACCCGTCAGTTAAAAAGCAATGTAACTTTTTCATTTTTATTTTAAAAACATCCATTCTTCATTTTTGTTAGGAGTGTTTCTGTTGGTGACTTGTCAACATTTGCTGGAAAAAATTACAGTTCGTGAGGGCATATTGGCCTGTACAGTCTTGATGATCAATAGCCTCGTGTTTGTAATATGCAAAGAACATCTGTAGCATGTTTCCTCCAACAAGCTATTCAAAATATAGTTGATTTTTAGGGACATGCTGTAATGAAATCTATCTTGCTTTAAATTTTCTTCTGCAAGTCTTTGGGCAGAGACTTGTTAACCAAAACAAAGTTGATCTTCAGTCTTTGTGAATTGATCATTTTACATTTATGTTTCTGTCTTTTGTGGTATATCTACTTAATGCTTATTTTGTGTGATTTATAAATCATCACAGGTTGTTCGGTTGCTATATACAAACTCTGGGTTGGCTGTCCTGGCTCTTGCCTCAAATGCTATCCATAAACTGTGGAAGTGGCAGCGTAGTGAAAGAAATCCACTTGGCAAGGTCAGCAATAGTATCGCTGCAGAACACAATCAGCAATAGTATCAACTGCAGAACACAATTCAATTTTTATCTTTTGCTTAATTTAGCTATTCTTCTTGCTTTCAGTCTACTGCCACAGTCGTACCTCAGTTGTGGCAGCCAACAAATGGTATTCTTATGACCAATGATACAAATGACAGCAATCCTGAAGAAGCAACTGCATGCATTGCTTTGTCAAAGAATGATTCATATGTCATGTCTGCTTCTGGGGGGAAAGTTTCATTGTTCAACATGATGACATTTAAGGTTTGTGCCTTGTTGCAATGTGATCAAATTTGATTTATTAGGAGTCAGGTCCTTAACATAAGATGCAGAATATACTTCTTCTTTTGGTGCGGTTTAAATATATTGAATTTTTGGTAGGTTATGACAACATTCATGCCACCCCCTCCAGCAGCGACCTTCTTGGCGTTTCACCCTCAAGATAATAATATAATTGCCATAGGGATGGAAGATTCCTCCATTCAAATATATAATGTCAGAATTGATGAGGTAATGAAGTCGAATGATTGCTTCTCTTCTGGGAGTGTCTATATGCTCTTCTTTCATTATCTGGCTAATTAAGTTTCCTATTTCTGTATTTCCTGCCATTTTATGGGAGCACTGGTAATCAATCTAATTTTCGCAATAGCTTGTGCATCTCACATCTCACCTATGCTGGAGAAATGTTTTCTGAACCCTTTTGGAGTGGAATTTGATATTGATGTCGTGCTTTCAGTTCTTGAGATATTGCTTTAATCAGCTTTTTGCTTCATGATATCTGTCTTTTCACTTCTCTACTTTGTCAATGACTGATCTAGCTTATAGCATCACGAGTTGTGATTCTTCATGCCCCAATGTCGTTGACATTTTTAGACTTCGGAGAACAAGATGAAGAGATAAATGTGTCAAGTAAAACATTCAATGATGGTCTTCGACATGCATGGTGCATTGAATTCTGTAATTAGCAGAATTTGTAACTTGTATGTCATTGAGTGCATCTATTTCGTGTCTCATCAAGATCAGATTTAATATGTTAAAAGTCAAACTGCTTCTCCTCCTATAGTTTATCTTTTCAAAAGGCGACATTCATTCTTGCTTTATGTGAGATGAGATATAGTGTTGATTTTGATTCATTCTTCTGACCAATCGTGTTGGTGCGCCATCACAACTATAATTTTAGTCGAAAATCAATCTGATAATTTCCACTTGCATGCTTAATGGCATATTTTGCATCCTTAGTGGCTTGCAATCTTACTAAGTACAGTGCTATAAAATGTGATCTTTCATCTAATGCCAAGGCAGCAAAAACAGCAAAGTCCCAGCCTTCTCTTACAAAAAACATGACCTGCACTCCTTAAAGTCTTTCTGAAAATATGTATCTGCAAATTTGACATGTTTAGTAAATGGACAAGTACAAGTTTGTATTGCATGTGTACAGTCCATGCTAGAGATCTACTACCAAATAGAAAAAAAATGAGATACAAATTGTAGTAGAAAAAGTAGGATAAGGTTCAATGCAAAACAACGATAACTGAGAAGCAAACTAAGAGGGAAAAAGCACAACAGTCTTCTGTTGAGATAACATCCCTTTAGTAATGGTAAAAAGCAGACTGGAAATTGTGCCTATTTCAACGAAAATATAGTCCTCGGGAACAAAAAATGTCAAGTGAAAGTGAAGGAACTGAAGTAGGAGTCTAGAACATAGAGTGGAAGACAAATAGCTATCATTTGAACAATGAGTATATGATCATGGATTATTGCTTTACTTCTGTAGATATAGTAAAATATGGTTGGTTTCTTATTCTTCTTAATCCTTTTATCATTCTGACGGCGTGTGCATATGGAAACAGTGGAACAGTTGAAATATGTGAAGAAAATATTTCTTAAGAGATGCCCTCCATTTGGTGCTGGAAGGTGCGTTAGAAGGAGAGAAGTATGTCTTCATGTGTACTGCTCAACTTTGGTTGTTATCACTTGATTGGTTGATCAAGTAGGAGAGCTAGTCAGTTCCTAGTTTGTGCCGAAAAAGATGCATCCCTCCTCTTTGTAGAGGCTTGGCATATCTTTCTTTTCTGCCAATGACTGTTAAATTGAGTGGAAATCCTTTACTTTTCTCCTGAGGGCTTCAGTTCTCAAGGAAGGATGTATGCGCCTTCACTTGTACTACATTTCTTTATCAATGCACATCTAGCTTGCTAGTTGCTTAGTAAGTTCTTTAGGATACTTTAAGTTTGTTGATTCATCAGCCACATTATCTAAATTGCTAAGAAAGCTAAAGAAGTGTTACTTCTAAGATATGTGTTTGAGTGAATTTCAAATAGAAAAAAGTGAAATCAGAATGGGAAATTTTTTATGTATAGTACCCTTTTGTATTATGTGAGCGTCTTTTCATTAAGACCGAAGCCAGAAAAATGTTTATAATTTCCTTTTCAATCATCTATAATTAAAACAAGCAGAAGAAAATAGACTTAAAAGTGTAAGAAACATGATATTTCATGAGTTTGGCTATGTCTTGGAGAAGACCTTTCAAATATGAATAAGGACAATTAAAAAGTCCATGTGCACAATGAATTTGTTCTCTTGAGCATGTAGAATATGTTCAAAGATGTAATTTTAAGATTTACTATTCTTATGGCGTTGGCATGAGAAGGTAAATGGACCATATGATCAGTTCTATTTGTGGTTATGGAGCATGCAAAGGCTTGATGATGATTATTGTTGCTTGCATCTGATATAGTACCCTTTTGTATTATGTGAGCGTCTTTTCATTAAGACCGAAGCCAGAAAAATGTTTATAATTTCCTTTTCAATCATCTATAATTAAAACAAGCAGAAGAAAATAGACTTAAAAGTGTAAGACACATGATATTTCATGAGTTTGGCTATGTCTTGGAGAAGACCTTTCAAATATGAATAAGGACAATTAAAAAGTCCATGTGCACAATGAATTTGTTCTCTTGAGCACGTAGAATATGTTCAAAGATGTAATTTTAAGATTTACTATTCTTATGGCGTTGGCATGAGAAGGTAAATGGACCATATGATCAGTTCTATTTGTGGTTATGGAGCATGCAAAGGCTTGATGATGATTATTGTTGCTTGCATCTGATATAGTACCCTTTTGTATTATGTGAGCGTCTTTTCATTAAGACCGAAGCCAGAAAAATGTTTATAATTTCCTTTTCAATCATCTATAATTAAAACAAGCAGAAGAAAATAGACTTAAAAGTGTAAGAAACATGATATTTCATGAGTTTGGCTATGTCTTGGAGAAGACCTTTCAAATATGAATAAGGACAATTAAAAAGTCCATGTGCACAATGAATTTGTTCTCTTGAGCATGTAGAATATGTTCAAAGATGTAATTTTAAGATTTACTATTCTTATGGCGTTGGCATGAGAAGGTAAATGGACCATATGATCAGTTCTATTTGTGGTTATGGAGCATGCAAAGGCTTGATGATGATTATTGTTGCTTGCATCTGATATGGTCATCTGTTCACACAACTAAAAGTTCTTTCATAATTATTTATTACTTGTGTTTAGCTTTACATCCGTACTATGAGGTTTGTTACTGTCTATTTTTGCTCATTTGTGCTTACCTTCTCAGCAGTGTTTCTGATTACTTTCCTGGAATTGCCTTTAGGTTAAAACCAAGCTCAAAGGTCACCAGAAGAAAATCACAGGGCTTGCATTCTCCCAGTCATTAAATGTGCTTGTCTCCTCGGGGGCTGATGCACAGGTACATTGATATGAATGATTCATATAATCAATATTCTTTCAATGAACCTCAGGTCCTTGCAAATGAAAGCAACATAAAGCTTCTGTTCCAGTTTCGTGTTGTAGGGTGTACATGTTGAAATATTTGATAATGGCCTTTTGCTTCTATTTATCTGATGGTTTTTTAATTTTTTTTTCAAACAGCTTTGTGTCTGGAGTATTGATGGATGGGAGAAGAGGAAGTCAAAATTTATTCAGTCACCTGCTGGTCGTGCAACCCCACTGGTTGGGGACACAAGAGTTCAGTTTCACAATGATCAGACACACATCTTGGTTGTTCATGAAAGCCAGATCTCCATCTACGACAGCAAGCTAGATTGCTCAAGGACGGTTAGTTCTTCCCCTTCTGATGGGTGTTTGGAGTGCATCTAACGTACTTGATGGTTCTTTATTTCTACTTGTCTACATCATATTCTTGCTTCAGTTTATCTTGAGAAGGTTTCAGGCATTCGTTGTTAGTTGACTTTTACTTCCCATAAAGTTTGGAAGATGCTTTCCTTTTTTTTCAAAACTTTAATCAATTTAGTGTGTATAAACTTGATACCCCTTTTCCATTTTCTTGTTGACCGTTCTTTTATAAAATGCAGTGGTCTCCTCGAGATTCTCTTTCTGCACCAATTTCAAGTGCAATATATTCATGTGATGGAATGTTAGTGTACGCTGGATTCTGTGATGGTGCAGTCGGAGTTTTTGATGCTGATAGCCTAAGACTTCGCTGCCGAATTGCACCCTCTGCCTATATTTCACCCCCTACTTCCAGGTAATAGTGATAAGATTTTTAGTGATACACACTTTATGGCACTTGAAGTTTTTTATTTATGGTTTAAATTGAGAATAATCTGCCCAATTTCAACCAAGTGTATATAGCTCCCAAATCTTATCTTTTCTTAAAGTTACCTCTTGGATCTTTATAGTTAGTAATCTGCCCAAAATTATAGTCAATCCCAAAAATATACTGCCCACTGTTATTGTTTTAGGCAATTAAATTGAAATATTCCTTTTATTTTGTTAAACTGATTGTTTTAAAAGCCTTAACTACCCCAAGTCTAGTTAATAAACTACAACCTGAAGTTAAACCCAAGTTCACACTTCAACTACTTAACTCCCCTCATCTCTTCTTCTCTTCCTCTGCCTGTTTGCCCTTCTTTCTCCTCACTTCCATCTTCTCTTTTCCGCACGCCTGCATCCTTCCCTCCTTATTCTCCCCCATCTTTCTCTTCTCACCGTCTCCCTACATCCTCCCCTCCCCCTTCCCCTCCTCTTTTGGCAGATTACTAAGGCACTTAGTTCTTTACCTATATATGTCCATAATATAGCTCTAAAATGTTGAGGGGATAATATTTTCACATAAATTGTTTAACTAAATTGCAGAATATTTAACTTGAGGATTTACTATCATTAAAATCTCAAATACATCAGGAGCTTGAACTTAGAAACCTTCCCAGCTTCACAACCTTAGCTAGAATAAAAAACTCCCCCCCTTCTGCTCTTTTTTGCTTTCGGATTCTGACCCATATTTATTAAAGGATTTCCTAACCTTTTCTGCCTTTTTTTTCTTAGTGGTGGAGCTGTGTATCCCATGGTGATTGCTGCACATCCTTCAGAGTCGAACCAGGTAGCACTGGGGATGAGCGACGGCACAGTCTACGTGGTCGAGCCATCTGATGCGGAGCTGAAATGGGGAGCCCCGCCGCCTCAGGAGAATGGAGGAGGAGCTCTCCCCTCCATCTCCTCCAATCCTTCAGTTAGCAGCCAGGCCTCTGAACCCCCGACGAGGTGACAAAAATCCTGTAGGGCTTTTAGAAACGCGTAGGAGATAGGTCCACGGTTTGTAACAGGAGAAAAGCTAATGAGAGTTATTTTGCTCAGATTTCAGTAAGCTATATTCCGGCTGCATCTGGGGATCACCTTTTTCTTATCCCCAATCTGACCTGCTGGGTTGTTCATGGCTACTACAACTATTATGCTTCCCTTCAGTTGTAAAGCTTATCATAGTGTTTGTCCAGATTTGTTTATTTAAGAGAAGCGGTGGCAAGATTTTTTGTGGCGTGTGATATATTTATCTCTGGAATTTGTTTTCCTCTCACATTTTCTGATGTCATCATTAGTGAATTACTGGTGACCAGCTGGGTTATTGATCATTGAATAGTTTCTGAGGGCTTTCAGAAAGGGGATTATATTGACAATAAGTAGATTCCGTCCTGTTACTCGGTGGTAGAATATTAAACGTAACCATTTTTCTCGTGAAATTTCGAAGTGAGTTGATACTGTTGCATGCAGGATAGGAACTGATATGTAATGCTCAAACTAAGTGACAGTGTGTACTAACTCCTTACAGAAAAGCATAGCAGGAAACAAAGTGAAGCTGATGGGGTTTGTTAATACCAGCCCTCGGGCATCGGCAGATAATTTCAAGTTCATATTTATCGAATGTCCGACTCTTCTGTTTGCTCTTATTTGAGGCAGTGCGATCTAGCCAGCGATTTGGATCAAATCACACAAGAATCAAATCACACAAGACCCAATCTCGTAGTTGCCCAACAAACTCAAAATAACATCAGAAATCGCTGAGAAGGTTAATCAGAGCAGCAGAAAGAAATGACGATGGAATCAGTTTCAGTAAAACTAAACTAAATAAGATTGCAGCCTGAATTGTCTTGGGAAAAATAGCAATTTAATCAATGTATGCTATACATTACAAACTAATCTTGAGCTCTAAAACACTAAGTTCTAACAGATGCCCAGTGCTAGTAAATCGTAACAGTACTCATCACCGACAGCATAAGCGGGCAATGGCATGTTCAAGCAGTCCTGCATGGCTGACATGATTTCCTCTCCCCCCTTCACACTTCTTTCCCCCTCCGCTGGCGACGGAGTTTCTTGTAGTATGTGGCCGTCTAGACAAAAGGACAAGCCGTCGAACGACGTTGAGGGTTCAACTTCGAGGCATTTCAAAAGTTGCTCTACGTCCACAGGGTCTGCTGGTTGCTGCTGCGAGGTATTTGAAGGAAGCTCGTCCAAGATTGTATTGATTTCGTCTAACGTCATTGTTAGCCCGTCATCAGCATCAACAGCGGAGGCCTGATGGGCTTCTTCTTGTTCTATCCTCTGCCTCTTGGCACATCTTTTATCCATTGGAGACCGCAACAGTCCCTGATTCATTGGAATTTGGTGAGCTCCTCCTCCTCCTCCTCCTCCTATTCTCTGCCTCTTCACTCGTCTTTGCTCCTCCACCTCCACCTCCACCAGTTCTTCCTCCAGTAACCGCACAAGTGAGAGATCATCATCATCAACATCAGCAGCGGCAACCGCATCAGCTTCCACCAAAGGCTGTGCTGCTGGCAACGAAGTTTGTTCGTCGGCCGTCTGTTGTGTATTAATAAACACTGGCGCCACCTCCTCCTCGTCCTCGTCCTTTCCCTTCCTCTTATGGATTCTGCAGAGCACCACGTCATCAGCCTTGTCATCAACAAGACGATACTCGTGCAAGATCCAGAGGGTGCTCTTCTTACTCTTCTTATCATCAAACAACTTGAACGCCAACTGCGCCCTGTGCCCAATCTCGATCTTCTCCCCGCCATTCCCAGCTTTGTGGATGGCCTTGCCCGCGGCGTGACCATCCCACAGACCCCCTTCATCGACGGTTCGGCTAAACCTCTTGGAGCCGTTGCTGCTTGCACGACGTCTCCTAGTGAAAAAGTACATCTCCTTCTCCTCCGTGTTGCAGTACGGGAAGAGGTGATGCTCTCTCTCTCTCTCTCTCTCTCTCTCTCTCTCTATCTATCTAATAAACACCTTTCCAAATTAAGGCTTCATATTTATAAGCCCAAATACAGCAATTTCCAAATAATTCATCTCCTAATCCGGGGATCAATAGGATTGTTTGCTTAGAAGTTAAGCATTAACCTTAGAATTTAAACTCCCGTGCCCTAACATAGTGCTGCTCAAATTAGGAAACACAAATCTTTTTAGAATTCTAACTACTAATAAACAGCCGACATTTTTACTCAGAAGACCCTATTATTAATTTATTTTTGTTAAAAAAAGAACAATTTGTATGCTAATTAAGACTGGGTTATCGTTGCATCTGATACGCAATATTGCAGCTAGCTACCTTCAACGATTTATGTTTATATATTATGCAACATTCATGCAAAGTAGAAATATATGTTTGATCGATCTGCAAATTAATGTTAGAAACTCCCCTTGCTCAAATGTTAGAATATTAGTATTTCGTTGTACTTATTCTATTAACAGCAGGCTCTTTAACGTATTGCCCAAGTTCATATCAATAATGCTTTAGACTAAATTATCTAAGATCTTAAGACGTTATAAAGCAAATCCCGACTGGATCCCGTAAACCATAAAAACTAAGCCAATCTAAGTTCAAGGCTTCAGTAATATTGGGAAAATTAAGAGCTAAATTGCACAAATATAACATAAAGTTTCCCGTTCCGACAACTAAAATCCACAAGTTGCATTTTTTGTACAAAATATACCGTGAAATTCCAAAATTTGCATGTTACTACCATAGAGCACGCAAATGTGAAAATGTTTACGTACCCGAATGTTTCTCTATGATACCTACTGTGAGGATCGAAGACCTCGATTCACCTTCCTAGCCATTGATTTAAGCTAAATTCAGCTTTGAGAAGAAGAGACAGAGATATGAGAGAAAGAGAGAGAGAGAATTGGACAAGAAAATTGTATAGAACTGAGGAGAAGAGATTTCTTATTCATCAACTTGTATCTCAATTATTACAACCATCTATTTATACAATTCTTCTCACTCTAACAGACAGTGCACGTGCACACAGTTGCAACAGTAATAACAGAAATTAACAGCTTAACTGTGCACGTGCAGACAGTTAAGTTCTCTAACAAAATCCAACAAACAGTCAAACATTTATTATAGCCCCTAAACTTTGAGATTTTGCATGATAGCCCCTAATAGCTTGCATATCAGTCCTTGTTCTTGTCTTGCATATCAGTCCGATAGTGCACTAGGCAGAATCTTTCCCAGCTTCCAACCTCAACTCCAGCTGCCTTAGCATTGGCTTCTGACAATTCCCCCCACTTAAATTTGACCTTGCCCCAAGGTCAAAAGTGGGAAACCTCTTCACCAAGTCCCAGTAGGATTCCCAAGTTGAATCTATTGAAGGCCTTTGCTTCCACTTAATAAGAACCTCAGAGACCAAATGATTCCCTTTAATTATTGTCCTTCTATCCAATATAGCTTCAGGTTCATCAATTATTTCTTCCACATAACTAGGCAGGTCACTCTGTAAAATGATATCAGTACCTACCCTCCTCTTTAACTGGGAAACATGAAAAACAGGGTGGATCTTGGCATGAATAGGAAGTTCTAACTTGTAAGCTACCTCACCTATCCTCTCCAAAATCTGGTATGGGCCATAATACTTGGGAGATAGTTTGTGAGGTTTGCATGAAGAGACACTGACTTGCCTATAAGGCTGAAGTTTAAGATAAACCCAATCACCTACTACAAAGCTTCTGTGGCTCCTGTGTCTATCTGCAAATTTCTTCATTTGGACCACTGATTTCTTCAGGCTGTCTTTCAAAAACTGAAGGGCTATATCTCTGGAAAAAAGAACCCCATCGACTGCTTCAACCTTGCAGCTCTTAGGGATATAGGTGAGCAAGGAAGGGGGCTGCCTACTGGGGCTGGGCATATTCGGGTCGGATCGGTTTTAAGCCCAATCCGCATCCAATCCGAATTTTTCGGATTCTCAAAACTCTCATCCAGATCCAGATTTTTTTCCCCTTCATCCGAATATTCGGTCCAACCGAAATTCGGATCAGGCCGGATCAGTTTCGGTTTTGGGCCGAATTAACTTAGAGAATGATATTTCTTTAAGTGACATATAACTATAGGCATCTTATGCCAAATTCCCACCAACTTTGATGTGCGGAAGTATTACAGGTGCTTCATACTCATAATCTTTTCCATACTGTAAATATTTAAACAAAAAAAAGTAAGATGACAAGGCTGCATGAAGGTTACTATGAATTCATTTTTGCGGACATTTTGTATAGGTACTAAAAAAATCAGAAGGCCAAGCAGCAAGTGTACAAGCAATATCACACTTTTCCCTCTCTCCTCTATTTATGAACTATGATGAGCGAAACAATATGAAAGTCACCCATTTCACAGTGGAGATTTAGATGTACACCTCAGAGCGGAGATATGGTACAGATATAGCTGTAAAAACAAAGCCAGCAACTATGTAATATGACGGAGGCCTCCCTCTGATGTGAGCCGGAATCAACCTCTTGTGACTTGCTAGTTTTACACTAAATTCAATGACTTTTGATTTGCGTAGAACTTTAAGAACAGCATTCTCCCCTGTGTACTTCTGAGAAACAAGGTAACTAAAACCAAAGCGTTCTCCATGCATGAAAGGAAATAAAACACCAGAAGATAAATATTTATATTAGAGAATTCGGGTCGGTTTTTTCGGGCGGTTCAGACATTCAAACCGGATCTAAACCGGTCTAATCCGGTTCGGGCGGTTTAGAGCCTTCTTCTCATCCATTTAATTCGGTTCGGTTAACCGGCTCGTTTTTTCGGGCGGTTTTTTCGGTTGAACCGGTTTTTTTCGGTTTTTGCCCACCCCTAGTGCCTACCATATACAGTTGCAAAAGGAGTGGTATTTGTAGATACTTTCCAGGTGGTGTTATACCAATACTCAGCTAGAGGCAGCCATTTATTCCATTCCTTAGGCTTGTGGCAGCAAAAACAATGCAGATAACCCTCTAAAATTTTGTTAATGATCTCTGTTTGGCCATCAGTCTAGGGGTGATAGGCTGAACTGAACTTCAATTGACTGTCTTGTAATTTAAACAATTCTTTCCAAAAGAGGCTTGTAAACAAAGGATCTCTATCACTCACTATGGACTTAGGCATACCATGCAGTCTAAACACTCCTTCAAAGAACACCTGATCAACTGAGGGAGCATTGTAAGGATGTGACAATGGAAAAAAATGAGCATACTTAGACAGTCTGTCAACCACCACAAAAATAACACTTTTATCCCCACTTTTAGGTAGTTGAGTAATGAAATCAATTGAAAGATCCTCCCAGATGTAATCTGGAACAGGTAAGGGTTGTAGGAGACCTGGAGAGGCTATGTTTTCCCCTTTTGTTCTTTGGCAGATATCACAATTTTGAACATAAGTCTGGACATCCCTCTTCATACCTTCCCAATAACTAGCCCTCCTAAGTCTCTGCAGGGTCCTAGTGATTCCAGAGTGCCCTGCTATTGGACTATCATGGTGCTCTTTTAATAAAGAAGATTTAATGTGTTGAGCTTGAGGACTAATCAAAAGATGATCAGTTCTGATCACAAATTTCCTGCCTAGTAAATACTGCTGCCATTTTTTTGTTGACAGAATGATTGTCATTAACTCTTTCTCATATGTGGAAAGTGTAACATTCCTTCCTTTCAAAGCAGAACTGAAGTAAGCTATAGGTCTTTCTTCTTGCATCAATACAGCCCCAATACCTGATCCTGAAGCATAAGATTCAATGACAAATATTAAGTTGAAATTGGGTATAGCTAAGACTAGAGATTGAGTCAGTGCCACCTTTAATGCTTCAAAAGCCTTTTCAGTGCAGTCAGTCCAAATAAAAGCCCCTTTCTTTAGAAGTTATGTCAAGGGCTGTGCTATTGCTCCAAATCCCCTGATGAACTTCCTATAGTATCCTGCTAAACCCAAAAAACTTCTCAGCCTCTTCAGGGTTGTTGGCCTTGGCCATTCAATGATAGCCTTGATCTTGTTAGTATCAACCCCAACCCCTTCTTGTGATACAACATAGCCTAAATATTCCACCTGATATTGTCCAAAACTACACTTTGACATTTTTGCCACCAACTGATGTTTCCTCATAATCAGGAAAATTTGTCTTAGATGAAATAAATGGTCCTGCCACCTTACACTATATATCAAAATATCATCAAAGAAGATAAGGATAGATTTCCTGAGTAGGTCTTTGAAGATAGAATTCATAAGGGCTTGAAAAGTAGAAGGAGCATTAGTGAGGCCAAATGGCATTACCAGAAATTCAAAATGTCCACTATGGGTCCTAAAGGCAGTTTTTGGAATATCAGCTGCATGCATTCTAATCTGATGATATCCAGATTTTAAATCCAGCTTAGTAAAGAATTTTGCCCCATGTAATTCATCCAAGAGTTCATCTATCACAGGTATGGGAAATTTATCTTTGATGGTAGCTTGGTTAAGAGATCTGTAATCTATACACATCCTCCACCCTCCATCATATTTTTTAACCATCACAACTGGAGAAGAGAAGGGACTGTTGCTAGGTCTAATGATTCCTTTGTTAAGCATGTCTTCCACTTGTTTTTCAATTTCATCTTTTAGAAAATGTGCATGCCTGTATGGTCTGATACAGATTGGTTTTGTGCCATCTTCCAGTGGAATTTTATGATCTATGTCCCTTCTAGGAGGAAGATGTGGTAGCTCCTGAAATACATCTTCAAATTCTTGTATCAGTTCTTGCACTTCTGTAGGTAAGTCTCCCTGTGCACCTTCTGTTGTGCACTTTTGTAGACTCACACTGTACAATTGGATGAAGAATCCTTTCTCTTGCTCCCTGATAGTTTTTGCAATTTGCTTACTGTCAACCAACTGCAACTCATCTGGGAGTACTCCCTGCAAA